ACCTCCACCAGTGACCAAAGACTTGACCACTCAAAGTCCAGTTCCCCATAATGCTGCTCACCAGTGTTATTGAAGGCGGATTCAATGTCACTCTCACCATTGGGCTACTTATGCATGGAAAGGAAGCTGGCAGTCTCATGGGAAAGAAAGCAGAATCAGTTAAGAAGATGGACGAGGAGAGTGGTGCCCACATCAACATCTCAGAAGGGAATTGTCCTGGGAGAATTATCACTTTGGCTGGACCCACTAATACCATCTTCACAGCCTTTGCTGTGATGGTGGACAAACCAGAAGGGACATCAACAGCTCTCTGACCAATAGCACAGCTGCCAGTTGAACCCCTGTCACTCTAAGGCCCTGCAAGTCAGTGTGGCTCTCTCATGGGAAAAGATTGAGGAAATATGAGAGTACAGGGGCTCAAGTCCAGGTGGCAGGGGATATACTCCCCAATTCATCTGAACCGGCCATCACTACTGCTGGTATTCCTCAATCCATTACTGAGTGTGTCAAAACAGATCTGCAATGTCACATTGGAGACTCTCTCCCTGTCCCCGCCCCAAAGGACGTGACCGTCTTCTATTGGCCCAAGCCCTTAAATTCTTTGCCGGTGATCAGGCCTATGTTATTCAAGGATGGTATACTCCACAGCCAGATTTGACCACGCTGCACCAGTTGGCAGTGCAACAGTCTCATTTTCCTATGACGTATGACAACACCGGATTCAGTGGCATTGGACCCAGCTCTCTGAGGTGAAAGGCTATGGGCAGGTTTGTATGCATCTGCTCAGACTACTTCTCATGAAGTCACCATTCCAAACAACTTGATCAGCTGCATAATCGGCATCAAGGTGAGATCCATCAGATGTATGGGGCGCAGATCAAAATTGCAAACCCCGTGGAAGGATCTACTGATAGGCAAGTTACCATCCCTGGATCTGCTGCCGGTATTATCTTGGCTCAGTATCTAAACAATGCCAGGCTTTCCTTGGAGATGAGTGGCATGAGGAGCAGCTAGAATAATGCAGATTCATCCGTAATCCCTTTCTGTTGTTCACCATGATCCATCTGTGTAGTTTCTGGACAGTCAACGATTCCAGGTTGTAAATAATGTGTAAATTTTCAGTTTCTACACACTTGTGAAGTTATCATTCACTTGTGATTTTTAAGTTAAAGCATTTTAATTCTTTTCTCTGTTCTGCCATCAATGCTGAGATGTATATTTAGTTTTATAAGTTTCTCATTTTTTTTGGCTCATGAATTTTTCTGTTTGTCATGGAAATGTAAGAGTGGACTATTAACATATTTCAGTTTAGTGCTGCAATGTCAGGAATTTTTAAAAAATTAATCTTTGATATAATGAGAGCAACTATGAACAGAGTAGGGAGGAAGAGCAGGAAGAAAAGATTAACTTTAAACTGAGACATGAGATGGGAGGGAAAGGGAGAGAAAAGGGAAATTGCATGGAAATGAAGGGAGACCCTCATTGCTATACAAAATTACACATAAGAGGTTGTGAGGGGAACGGGAAAATAAACAAGGAGAGAAATGAATTACAGTAGATGGGGTAGAGAGAGAAGATGGGAGGGGAGGGGAGGGGGGATAGTAGGGGATAGGAAAAGTAGCAGAATACAACAATTACTAATAGGGCATTATGTAAAATTGTGGCTGTGTAACCGATGTGATTCTGCAATCTGCATTTGGGGTAAAATTGGGAGTTCATAACCCACTTCAATCTAATGTATGAAATATGATATGTCAAGAGCTTTGTAATGTTGTGAACAACCAATAAAAAAAAGAAAAAACAAAAAAAAGAATTGAATCAACCATCAAAAAAAATTAAAAAAAAAATTAAAAGATGGAATGGAGCATCACACTTTTTAGTATGGCCTACTGCTCATGCCTGATGTGAAACTCATGCCAATAGTGATCCACCACTGACTAAAATAGTATTGTGTTAGTTCATATCATGTTCAGTAAAGTGAGTCCACAGGCTTAGACATCATGAAACTGTCAACTTGTTATTTATAGTTACTTTCAATTCTGTATTTAACTCATCTTTAACTGGTAATATAGTTTTATGGGTTGCCACTGGTCCACGATTATACTTCAAACTATATCACTCTAAGGCAAAAAAAAGAGATAAATAAATTGTTATTTCTATGATAGGATCTTTTTTAAAATGGACTTAATACCTTTATTTTATTTGTTCATTTTCCTTAATGTGGTGCTGACATTCGAACCCAGTGCCTCACACACATGCTAGACAAGCATGCTACCACTGAGCTGCTACCACTGAGCCACAATCCCAGCCCCTGATGAGGCTCTAATTATCACAGTAACTCTGGATATGCTACTATATAGGCAGGACAATAAAATCCCAGAAATGTTTTTTTATTCAATGAAAGAAATTTTAGTTTTTATGTACTCTTTTATAGGCCTTTTTATTAATTTCACCATCTAGCACTTTACATATCACCTTTCACAAATATGTTTGCAATTTGTTTACTTGATTAGATCATAAGAAATAAAGCAGATTTGAGCCAGCTTCCACAACCTTTTCAAATAATTATTTCACTCAAAATCCATTTACATTTTGTGTGTCTGTCATAAAAAATTCGGTGATCACATGCCATTTATGTACCCTCCTCCTTATAAGCAAAAGATTATAATACATGAGGTAGAACGTTGCCTTTCTTCTGAGGACAAGAGAATTCTGAATGCAGCTCCAGGAATTAATATTGCTATGCCCATGAAATAAATTTTTTCTGAATTTATAAAATAGGCATTGATTAAAACTGCCTTCCCTGATGATGTTCCTGAGAAGTGTAGTCAACATGCAAGGCCTGCAGTCAGATCCTTTATGCCAGTCTTCTGGAGTTTCAAAAAAGACAAAACAAAAAAGGTTGATTTTAAACTATTGTTATGCACTCAAAGTCAGTTCCCATAGTCACTTTTCTTTATAAAAGGCATGCTATACTAGGTATACCTATAGAATTTCATTATTTTTACAGAGAAATGTGTGAGTTTTCTTATTTCTGAAAAAAAATTCTTACTCAAAAAAGTGAAAAATCCCTAATATGCAATAATTAAACAGGTATATTTATATATATTATATAATGAAAAGTATCTTTCCCATTTCCAAAAACAATCAGGAGAGGAACAAATAGCTAAATACCATTTTTTTAAATTAAAAACGGGGACAAAAGTCTATGTTCCAAATAGCTAATGAGTTCAACTATTGGATAAAATTGATATTATACATACATATAAATAGTAAAATATTTCATAGGGAATAAACAAATAAATTTAATTTTTAACATCATATTTACTTTCCTTTACCTCCCAAGAGAATAAAAAATTACAGCAAGTCATTGAGGTGCTACTTCTGAAATGTGACAGAAACCAGTGCATTCCCACTAAATGAAATTGTAATCTGACTGTATCCCGTGGCAGAGGACATCTGTCTTTTCTATTTACAAGCAGCAGCAAACTACAAAGTGGAAGATGATTAGAGGTTCCTATATCACACGGCTGAAAACAACTCACCGAAAGACATCTGCTTTTCTTTCTTTTTTAAAAGTGTAATAGACTTTATTTTAGAGTAGTGTTACAGTTTGGATATAGATAGGCTCCTGTGTCAAATTGTCCCCAGGGCAGTAATTTTCAGAGTCCAGGAAGTGATTGGATCATGAGGGCTCTGACTCATTGGGCCAATGATTGGTTAATAATATAAACAAGTGGGTAAAACCACAGAAGAGATGACTGTTGGTGGCTCGCTCTCTCAGTCTCAAGATGAGTAGCTGTGCTCCACCAGCAATCTGGCTTCATCAAAGGCCCACAGTCACGGGGGTAAGTGATCACAGACTGAACCTTTGAAAACCTAAGCTAAAGTAAAATTTTCCTCCTTTAGATGAATAGTTTCACCGTTTAAAATGTAATCCCTTGTGCTCCACATACACATTTTTCTCTGCTCCCAGTTCAGAAATCTGGCCTGGATCTAAGCCTCTGCTTGGTTTCCCTGATTCCCCAGGGTCTGTCCCCAAATTGGGACAGGGGTGTCCCTCCACCATTCCTCATCACAGGGTTAGGGGGTCCAGCAGATCTAGGAACAGGAGCTGCCAGACAGAGGAGGGTTAAGTGTCCTTGGCCAGCCTACAAAGCCTTGCCTCCCTGTTTTCCAGTTTCCAGGGTTTTCTCCTCATCCAGAGACATGAAACACAAAAATATGGAAACCGAAAGCAAACCCACCACGGAGTGCTGGTGAGACTGGCAGGCTCAGCCCAGAGGGCAGAGGCCTGTAGCAGGAGTGCGGACCAAGAGAAAGGTCAGGATGAGTGACTTGGACACCTTAGGCTTACCTATGCCCCCTGTCCCTGAAGATCACTTCCTTGATTGCATGATACCTGAGCTTGAAAGGATATTTAGATACATTTTATCCTTTCTCTAAAAGCTGATTTCAGAAGATTAAAACTGGCCCTTTTTATTTCATCTTGGAAGGAGAGAGGTCTCTGAAGTTAAAATAAATAAACAAATAAAAATTTTAAAAAAATTTAGAAAAGTTAAAAAAGCATTTTAAAATCTTAAAGCATTCACCAGTTTAACTTATTTTATTTATATTCCTCTTAATTTGGTTCCCTAGTTCCTCTCTTTTGAAATGTTCCTTCTCTCAGAGCCAGAAACTTGTCAGTAAATTATTCTGATAATTTGCTTGAATAAGTAGTTTCAAAGTCCCTCCCAGGGCGTGGTATCAGTTTCACAGTGCTCTTCAGTTCCTGCTCTGAGCAGCTGCGCTCCACCAGCATACCTTCTTCACCAAGAGATCACTAGAGATCTCCTCCCCTGTCTGAGCACCAAGATGACAGCTGCAGAGGCTTCAGTGGAAATGTTAAAGACAGACCTTAGATTCACGGATGGCCTGGAGAAAGCAGGACCTGGTAAAGTAAAAGATGACATTTGAAAAATACTAAAGGGGATATTTTTACTCTCCAGCCTCCAAATCACAAAGGGAGCTGAACTTCAGGCATGTTAGTACTTTACAGACTCCATAGAAGGTGATATGTTGCAGGGGGGACAGGGTAGGTGGGAGGATAGATATAGAATTGTTACATTAGTTATTGTATCATGGTATATGTTACTTAAATATTTCTGAAGCAAGATAAATGAAGAGTGAAGTTGATTACAAGAGGAGGAGGAAACTGTTCCTTGTGTTCAGACCTCTAGTACTCAGGTTTGCCTATGTCTCTGGCAATTTACACACTGTTAGGTCACACTGTGACTTTCAGTAATATGCTCTTTATATCCCAGGGTGATGGCAGACTCCAATGACAATGACTGTAATACACTTACCAAGAAAATTTACCCTTTGAAAGCTGAGACATTAAGTTTGCTGATCCTTTGTAATTAAAGAGAAATGTAGGGATTTCAGGGTGAGGGAGAGAATCTGAACTGTTCCACCAGCAAATCCTTTGTCATTTTCACTTTTTGGTAAAATATATGAGATGTTATATGAGAAAGAAGAACAACATAATGGGTATTTCTATTGCAGTCCAGAAAAGGGGAAGTGAACCTAGAAAAAAATGAAGTGAAATACCTGTTTTTCTAAAAGAAGAAAATGAACTAAACATATGTATTCCCTTCCCCCCTGTTAGTTTATCAGTTTATTTTCTTCTTTTGTTTGAGTGCACAGGATTTTGGATTTCCTGGAAAATGAGGTGGGTTCAAACTTAACAAAAAGGAAATTCTTGAATATCAATGTTTATCAGCTAAGCCTATAAGTGTTTCCATAAGGAGAACTAAGTATTTCATCAACCATCAAATTGGTCAAATATTGACAAATATTAACTATTTCAAATGTGAAACTTATGTTTCTAAATACAAATGTTACAAAATTGCTACTAATTTGTAATTTCCCCATTACTAAAACTTAACTGCTTTTATAAGCTAAGTAAGTTGTTTGGATCATAAAACTATAAAGTTAAAATTAAACCAGTAATATGGTTCATTTTTTTCCTCTGAGGGATAAATTCTATTCTGTTTTCTAACTAAGAATTTGAAGATTATCAGGTACAAAGTATCTCTTGGAAAGAGATAAGAAAAGTACACATTATAAGGAAGGTAAAAGAAAAATAAATATTTACAATTACTATGCATTAATTAAAAGTAAAAATTCAATGTCAAATATGAACTTCGAATGGAATAAATGCCAAGTATCATAAATAAGTATCTTTCCAGCTGTTAGTAATATGTAAGAAAGTTCTAGTGTTGAGTCCTATTGGATATTTGAAATATCTGGTAGAAGACATTTTAGGTACCTGTTTTTTAGCATTACCCTCAAAGTCTCCAGCTTTTTGACTTTTAGCTTTTTGATTGATCCATAATAATTATATGCACTTATAAGGTACACTGTGTTGTTTGATTCTTGTATACATTGGTAATAATAAAGTCAGCACAATTAGCATACCCATCACTTTAAACTTTTGTGTTCTTTGTGATGAATATATTAAAAGTTCTCTCTTCTAGTTATTGAGACATATACTGTGTTTTTGTTAACTATATCCCCTCTGCTATGCCATTGAACACCAGCAGTTCTTCCTCCTATCTGTAACACTGTACATTTTCCATCTTCTTCCCACCACTCTCCCCAGTCTCTGGTAAGAGACCTGAGCATTTCAAAGTTATTGTAGCCTTATTCACAATAGCCCAGATATGGAATCAGCTTAAACATACATCAAGGGGTGAACTGTTAAAGAAAATGTGACATATACACAATGGATTACTATACACCAACAAAAAGGATGAAATAATATAATTGGTGACAAGATAGAGGAACTTAGAAAACATTATTTTATGTGAAATGTCAGGCCCAGGAAGACAAACACTGCAAGACTTTGAACATATGTGTAATATCATGGAAGTTTTGTATTTTAAAATAATAAACTTTAAACTCTTTAGATTACAACCAAAGAAAAAGTTCATACAGGGACCAGATAGAAAAAAAATTAAGAGCCAGTATTACTTTATTGGAATTGGAGAGAATATTTAAACACAATGCAAAACCCAGCAGTCATAATCAACTCCATTCCTTTCAAATTTGAATGAGTTGCTTTAAATTAATTCAAGGACTATGTGTATGGGGGGCATGATGGGGTGAATAAGAAATGCATATGAAATAAGATTGCTTATATGTTGATAATTTTGAAAATTGTTGAAAAGGTAATAGATACTTAGGCACTTATTGTATTTTTTTTTTCTTTTTGTATATGCTTGAGGGTTTTTTATGTCAAAAAAGTAAGTAAAAAAAGCAAGAAGAGATACATTACAAGGAAAGGAGAAGAGAAAGGAGGAACTTTTAGAAGACTAGTCAGAGGGGCAAGTAGGAGCTTTACAGAAATTCAAGGGAAATTTTTATACTATCTTAATGACAATGAAAAATATACGAAAATTAGGATGCACTGAGTTAAGATACTTTTACTATAGAACTAAAAATAATGAATGTTGAGACTTTTATGTCAACCTAAAATCCAAACGACATAACATCGTGCTTAAAATCAACTAATCCTACATATCTTTGTCCTTGTGAATGGTTTAAGCTGAGACTCCCTGGTTTCTTTGGAGTTGTTTGCAGAATGAGTATAATGTAATAGAGAAACAGAACTCATTAGGAACTTTTCTAAAAGTATAACTTATGTTCAGTAAAACTAACTTTTTTGGTGTATGAATTTTGAGTTTTGACAAACACATATAATCATGAAGTCACTGTCACAATCAAGGTAAAGATCCATAACCCACTCCCATTCCCCTCAGGCCCCTTTAGAGACATTCCCCTCCTCTGCTTCCAGCCCTTACCATCTGCTGGTCTGTTTTCTATTTGCTTTTCCAGAACGTTACATAAATAAAATCCTGAAGTAGAGTCTGCAGTAATGCATTTAAGATTGATGCACATTATGGTATGGATGGATAGTTTGTCATCTACAAACAAATTTGGATTTAGAAAAGGAGAGACTTTATTCAAAAGGACCAATGATATAGGAATAATACTCCTATTTCAAAATATGCAGTGTCTCAAAAATCAAACAGGAAGAGGCGTTGGTTTTATAAAAGAGGTTCGAAAATGTTAGCAAAAATATGTGAGTGAGAGAGGGAGAGAGCAGCTTTGTAGTTAAGATCATCCAGGTGAGCTTGTAAAGGATTTTGCACATTGCGGCTCTGGTGCTTGTTTAATCTCTTGAGCAAGTCTGACTTTAGCAGCCCCTGGGAAAAAAACTTGAAACTTGACACAGATTTGGTCAAGTCTGTACAAGGTTGTAATAAAGTGGTTTTTTTTTTTCTTCTTCTTTGCTTTGCTTTTTCTTACCCCCCCCCTTTATTTTTAACTTTTCCTCATTTTTTTTCCCCATAAATCCTGGTGATTTTTTTTTATCTCTCTGCAGCTGAAAAATATTTGAATCATTGCAAATTTTTCAGTTTTTAATGATTATCAATAAAATAATAAAACTTCAATAAATATTTACGTATAGGTTTTTATGTAAAGTCAAGTTTGTTCCCCTTGTGTAGAATACCTAGGGGCAAGCTGCACAGGACATATGGCAAATGACTGTTTACCATTTTGCCTTTCTAAACACAGTAGAAGGACATTCCATTTGCATCTGTTCTTCACCAACACTTGCTGTTGTGACTTTGTTTAGTTTTGTTTGCCACTCTGAGAATCATATGGTGATCTCAAAAGTCTTTCATCAAGCATTTCTCAAAAGTCTTAACATCAAGCATATTTTATGTGTTTATTTACTACTATGATATTGTCTTTATTGTTGTTACTTTGTAAGTCATGAAATCTAGAACTCTGATTTCTCCAAATTTGATCTTTTTTTTTTTTCAAAATAATTTGGCTATTGGTTCTTTTATCTTTTCACATAATTAAAAAGTGACCTTCTTGATTTCTACAAAAAATAAAGTAAATCATGCTGAAGTGTTTACTGGAATTGCACTGGATTTATAAACCTGTTTGGAAATAGTTTGAATATTCCATCCATGAGTTGAATATTCCAATCTATGAACGTCTTTTATTTCTTTATTGATTTAGATCTTCTTTGAGCTGTTTATTATTTTTGAATATAGTTTTTATTATACTGATTATGAACATATTTTGATAGGATTACAATTAAGTATTTTAACTGGTGTCACTACAAATAGTACTGATTTTGTATTTTAATTTGCATTTGAAAATTGCTAGTATACGAAAATTGAAATGATTTTTAAAGATTAGCATTGCATCCTACAGTTTTGGATACAATGTAATAAATTTCATTTATTACATCTAATAGCATTTTGCTGATTCCTTGAGGTCATGGTCACAGACCAGGCTGAATGGGATACAGCTGAAGGGAAAAAATGCTGCTCTTGCAGAGGGCCATGCTGAGCACCATCAACCAGACACCCATGGTGCTGCAGGTGCAGGGCCTGATGAGCTAACAGGTGCAGATGGGCGGCCACCCTACTGAGGTCCTATGCCTCCTGAACATGGTGCTACCAGAGGCGCGCCTGGTGGACGAGGAGTACAGGAGGTCGTGGGGGACCTGCGGGATGAGTGCAGCAAGTGCAGCTCCTCAAGTCCATTGAGGTCCCCTGCCTACAGATGGTATCCAGGTGCCTGACTACAGCAAGATCCTTGTGGAGTTCACTTCTGTGTGACTGCCAGAAATCCATGCAGGACCTCAAATTCACCAATAGCAACGTTGTCACAAAATACTGCAACCGCAACTCTTACCACCAGCTAGACTTATGGTAGAGGTGGCCTGGGGAGGGTGGGGCAGGGCTGGTTGGAGGCTTCTCTCCCCACCTGTCCCCCTCTCCCTCCCCCTCTGAAGATGATGGGCCATGGGCCAAGGAGTGACAGCGAAATGACAGCCTGACAGCCAGCAGCAACTGGAATGGCAGCAATTAAGTGTGGGGAGTGGAGGGGCGGGAGGTTAGGGAAGGGAGGGGACTGAAGTGCACACAGGCCCACACAGACAAGCACCACACAGACACAGAGGGAGGGGGTTGGGATGGAGAGGGGCGCACAGCAGGACAGGTAGGACCCCCAGGGCCTCTCCCAAAATAGCCTCCCCCACCTTAGACCCCTTTCTCCTCCCCATGGTAGGAACACACTGTGTTTATATTTCATGGCCAAATATCTTTGGATTTTGTTGACTGGCCTTAGAGCCCTGCCCTCTCCCATTTGCAGGACCACAGCCCCCTCCTCTGTTCCTCCCTGGTCCCAGCTCTGTCTTTCCTTGTTTCTTAGTTGGTTCTCTTTGGCCTTCCCCAAGAGGCTCCCACCCCCACAATCCCCAGGCCCCTGTACCTCTCTTCCTCTCTGGGGCAGTTTCATATTTGCTATGACAATTTTGCTCATTAAATATTTTGTTGTTTTTTTTTTAAATTAAAAAAAGTAAAAATTTTCTCATGCTTTTGCTGCATTTCTTGGGATGCTCCTATGTCCTCTCTTTTCTTATTCTGTTAAAATGCTACATTACATCCAGTCAGAATGGCAGTTATCCAGAATATGAGTAACAAAGTTGCCAAGGATGTGGGGAAAAAAGACATTCCTGGTGGAACTGCAAACTGGTGCAACCACTCTGAAAGTAGTATGGAGGTTCCTCAAGAAACTTGGAATGGAACCACTACTCCTTAGAATATATCCAAAGGACTTAAAATCATCATACTATAGTGGTGAGGACACATCAATATTCAGATCAGCTCAATTCACAATAGCTAAAGTATGAAACCAACCTAGGTGCCCTTCAACAGATGGATGGATAAAGAAAATATGGTATATTTAATATGATGGAATATTACTCAGCCATAAAGAAGAATAAAAATATGGCATTTTCTGGAAAATGGATTGAACTGAGAACTCTCGTGTTAATCCCCCAAAACCAAAGGCCAAATGTTCTTTCTAATATAGAGATAACTCACAATAGATGATGGTGGGGAGTGTAAATTCATCATATTGTACAGAGAGGAATGGTGGGAAGGAAGAAGAGATGGAAATGGGAAAGAGAGTAGAATGCATTTGCTATAACTTTCCCATGTTCATGATTGATGTAACTCCACATCATGTACAACCACAATAATGGGAAGTTCTACTCCATGTATATAGGATATGTCAAAATACATTCTACTGTCATGTATAACTAAAAAGAACAGATAAAAAATTTAAAAAGGAAGAAATTAGGCCATAAGTTGTTTTACTTAAAGGGCATGTGAAAAAAAGAACACTTCTCTTTAAAAAAATAAATCTAGCCTTTTAAATAGAAAAAAAGATGAATTACTTTTATTTATCTTGTAATGTATCCCTTAGTACTTCTAGCCAGGTTATTTATTATGGAGGCAAATCTGGATTGTTTATATGTCTCTTCTTCTTCCTGATTTGTCTTATACTTTCATTGTCTCTTATTCCAAAAATTGAAAAATCCTATAGAGAAAAAGTTCCATTTCCCTTGTCTTTAGCCCTCTGGATATTATTGATGGACAAGATCTTTTGTAGAACAGACTTGCACTAGGAAAGTACAAACTAAACTTGGAGTTGATTCTGTGGCTAATTAATTTTCTTCCTCCCTAAGAGTTTCATGAGATTGTATTTGGTATTTATCTTTTGCAGGTAAAAGTCTTCAAGGAAAACTTCTAGCAGTTATATATCCTGTAACTCCTATAAAAATTTATTTGTGCTTTTTCATTATCTCAGTCCTAATTGCAAGTGTCATTGCACTTTCCATTATTTTGTCAGGTAAGTTACTTTTCCTCCAAACTATGCAATATCTTGTACACATTTATATTGCCAATAAATATTTATTTAATTTTGAGCTCTGTTATGTGTCAGGCACTGTATAAAGTGCTTGAGGTATATCAGTAAATAAAACACACAAAAAACAATCCCTGGGTCTGGGGATGTGGCTCAAGTGGTAGCGCGCTCGCCGGGCATGCGTGCGGCCGGGGTTCGATCCTCAGCACCACATACAAACAAAGATGTTGTGTCCGCCAATAACTAAAAAAATAAATAAATAAATATTAAAAAAAAACAATCCCTGCTGTCTTCAAAGTTAATTTCTAGCAGGTGGATACAGGTAAGAATAAGTAAGGGTAAGAGTGAAACAGGTTGTAATATTTGTAGGGTAGCAATGTGATCTTCTTTGGGAAGTTATTTAGCAACATTTTGAAGGGGATGGAAAAGTCATGGTTTCCTGTGGAACTCTTCCAGACAGAAAAATGTAAAGCGAAGCCCTAAGACTTTGGGAGTGTGCTGTAGATAAAGCTGAATAAGAATGGAGAAGAGTAATATAACAGGGGAAGGTACAGCATCCCCCCATTACCTGTGGTTTCAATTACACATGGTCAACTGTTTTCCAAAAATATTAAGTGGAAAATTATCAGATTGTCTGTCATGGTATCTGTGTTCAACTCATCTTTATTTTACTTAATAATGCCCCAAAAGCACAAAAATAGTAATATTGGCAATTTGAACATACCTAAGAGAAGCCATAAAGGCTGTATTTTAAGTAAAAAGATCAAACTTCACCAGTGGTTGAATGTATGTATAGAAAAAACCTAGTATATATAGGGTTTAGTATTATCCATAGTTGCAGACATCCACTGGGGACTTGGAATATATCCTCCATGGATAGCAGGAGTCTTCCAAGCTATTTAAAAACTGGCTTTTATTCTGAATGCAACAGAAAGAGAAAAGTGGCAGCATTGAACTTTAATGGCTGAATAATTGACTTCCATACTGAGAATACGCTGTTAGGGGACCAGAATAAAAGCAGGAAGACTTGTCAGGAAAATCTGGTAGATATCAACTTGAAAGAGGATGGCTTAGGCCTGATGATAACAGTGGAGGTGTGGGCAACATAGATATTTTAGAGGTTGAACCAACAGTATTTCATATGAAATTGGATATAGAGTTTTGGGAAAAGAAAGGTCGACAATAATTTTAAGCATTTTCTTTTGAGCTATAGAAATAACATAATTGTAATTCACTGATATGAGCAAAGATATGGGTGTAGAAATTCCATTTATGTGACTAATTCCTGAAATTTCCCAATTAGACTTTTCATTCCTTTAAAGAAAAAAAATGAGGTGTCTACTTGAAATATTCTCAGGTAGAGGCATATCCTTTGACCTTAAGTATTTATAGCTTATACTTAAGCAGATTGAGAATGCAGGAAAGTGTGGGGAACTACAAATGTCAGAATATCATGCTGAGCAAAATAAGCCAATCCCAGAAAACCAAAGACTGAATGTTTTCTGTAATATGAGGATCTAATTCACAATAAGGTAGGGGGCACTAGAGAAGAATAGAGTTACCTTAGATTAGGTAGAGGGAAGTGAAGAGAGGGGAAGGGAGGGAATGTGGGGATAGGAAAGATAGTAGAATGAACAGACATTATTACTTTATGTATATATGTGACTGCATGACCAATGTGATTCTACTAAATGTACACCCAGAAAAATGAGAAATTATATCCCATCTATATATGATATATCAAAGTGCATAAATGCATTCAATTGTCATGTGTACCTAATTAAAACAAATAAAAAATTAATTTAAAAAATTCATCCTTTATACATACAGGCAATAGGTCACCAGCTTTGTTTGGGGTATGTTAAAGGACTACTCAGGTAGAGATGATTTAACACAAGAAAATACAAAATATGTGTATTTTGGTTTATAAATTGTTTTTCAAATTATTGTTGTTCCTACAACTTATACTATTATACTATCTTATTATTATTATTATTATTATTATTTTGGTGGGGAAGATTGAACTAAGGTCTAAACCACTGAGCCACATCCCCAGACCTCTTAATATTTTTATTTAGAGACAGGGTCTCAATAAGTTACTTAGGGCCTTGATAAGTTGCAAAGGCCGGCTTTCAACTCATAGTCCTCCTGCCTCAGCCTCCCAAGCCATCCTACAACTTCTAAAACATGACCTAAAATAATTTGAAAAACTACATATTATCTGACATTTTTCATCAGATATTTAAATAGTTGTAAATGATGTAACTTCTAGCACATCGTAAATGTTGGCATATTAAAATTCATCTTTATATTGTCCTTTTAAATATATCTGTTGGAATATAAATTTTGTCATGATTTGAAACACACCATTATCTATTTTCTTTTTGTATAAAGATCAACCATGGGTCTGGGAGTGTAGAGTGCTTGTCTAGCTTACATGAAGACTTGGGATTGATTCCCCCACCATAAAATGAATGAATGAATGAGTGAATGAATGTATTAGTGAATAATTAAAAATTGATAATAAAAAATACATGAACCAAAACTTTCTTAATCTTAGAAAAGTCTAGTTGGTTTGTTTTTTTCAAAAGTATTTCTCTTCTAGAATTTTATCATAATGTGAGAATGTCTTTGTATTTTTAAAAGTTTATTTCTTCATGTTTAATATTTTTCATTCACTTAATATGTATATATACATTGAAATTTCATTTTTAAAAAATCATATGATAAATTACCGGGTGAGGTGGCTCATGCCTGTAATCTCAGAGGCTCGGGAGGCTGAGACAAGAGAATTGCGAGTTCAAAGCCAGCCTCAACAACAGCAAGGCACTAAGCAACTCTGTGAGACCCTGTCTCTAAATAAAATACAAAATAGGGCTGGGGATGAGGTTCAGTGATCAAGAGCCCCTGAGTTCAATCCCCACTACCAAAAAAAAAAAAAAAAAAAAAAAATCATATGATAAGCCTTTCTTAAAATAAATTTTTCAGATTATTTAGAATTATAGCTTTAATAACCATTTAATATAAATTTTGATAATTATCAAAAGAAAATAATTTATATATTAAAAAAATTTGTGATTTAATTCATATGCTGCTCTCAATAATTTGCCATAATGTAATATTATGTATAGCTCAAAATATGAATATGTATTAGTTGGGGAATATGACAAAAAAAGTATACTAATTCTTCTCTAAATACCTGCACATAGTCTACTTAATTCTGATATTTGCCCACCATATTAATTAAGTTAAATGATGTATAAAACCTCAGAGACTTTTCCATTAAGAAAACTAATCCTCTGATGAAATTTTTTTCTATGAACATGAGAGTTGTCTAATCTACTAACCCCTCCCCCAAGATTTAATTGGAATAGCAGTTAGCATATAATTTTAGTTTTTGTTAATAAAAACATATATTAAACATTTTATATGAAGAAATAAGAAGAGAATTTACTGTCATTGGAGTAAAAATTTCATAAAACTATTTAATATGAAAAAACATATTATTTCATTAAATTAGACTTAAGTAGCTCAATTAATAATGCAAAAGTCTAAAAAAGTCAGATAAATGTTTTGCCAAAAGTTTTATTTATTGTCACCTAAAATACTTAACAGTCTCTGAAAAATAATTGTTATATTAAAATATATCAGTGATACTGATCTTACAGCTATTTGCTTTTATCCTATTACCTAGTGACTCATTCTAGGGATAAGAATTAAGAATAATTGTAAAGAATTGCCTACTATTAAATCTAAGAGAAAATAAGTTTTGATATTTGATAGCTCTTACCTGATCTCTTTTTGTTTTGTTTTCACTAAACATTCCAAAAAGCAATGCATAATTTTTAGACATAAAGGAGGGAAAAGGTAGAGCTATGGAATGAAAGTATCTGTTCTTCCAATAAGATATACTCTGAAATCTTGTTGGTTTCAAGACATCTAACAATGGCCAATGGCCAAAATATTTTTACCTGCACAAGCCGTGGAATTTGGGTTTCCTCTGCGTGGAGTGGGCTGGCTGGGGCATAAAGCTAAGAAAAGAAGGCGGTGGAAAAAACCACAATACACAGAAAGTAATTTTAGAAAGCGAGGGTGGGATGGCTTCTTGACATTAAGGGCAGAGTTTCCACACTGGGAAGAGACAGAGCGAGAGCTGAGAGCCCGCGTTTGCTTTATTTGTGTGGGGTAAATATCAAAGGTTTTTTCCATAGAATGTTCTTCTGCCAAATAAGGTATGAAGTGGGCTGTCCAGCCCCAATGAGTTGTGCCTAATTCTGGAGCTACCAGAGGCAGTCCACTAGTAGAGGGAGGGCAGAGATCTCAAGTCTACACATTAGAATGCAAGGATCATTCCCAAGGGCAGACCTAGGTCCCCCATGGCTTGGTACCAAGTAAAAGACCACTCAAGTAGCTTCATGGGTGGCGTACCACATTTACATACATTTAACAGAACACACACACACACACACACAATCAGAAAATTTAGGAAATTCTAGACTGTACTTTGGATATTAAAAACAGTATTTTGAACAGTGTCAAACTTTGTGTACTGGAAGCTTTGCATCCCTGAAGAAATGCATAATAGTAAAATCCAGGACAAGGAAGGAATTTCCCTTTCTGTTGTAAAGAACAGGGAGGATGACCCCAGAAATGGGAGCAGATTCCCAACTTGAAGGTCACTGGACAGATAATGATTACACTTGGGATAAGACTTGATGATAAGTCAGAAAATCAACAATCCATATGCACACTTCAAAATAGACTATGGGATTGTAGACAGAAAAAAAGTAAATAAAAGAGATGAAAAAGTTGACTTATTGTCATTCCTTTTGGTTGTCTCAATTTTAGCAAAAAAGACAGAGCCAATCGTACAGAATCTTGTGTTTGCTACCTGCCCAGAAGATTGGATTGGATTTGGAAACAAGTGTTTTTATTTTTCTGAAGACGTAGGGAATTGGACATTCAGCCAGACTTTTTGTGCTTCCTTAGCATCCAATCTTGCTCAGTTTGAAAGCCAGGAGGAACTGGTAAGAAAAGTTTTTGGATCACTTTTTTCTTTAGAATTCTTTGCTCTCTGAGTGGTTTAGACTGCATAAAGTTAAAACTGAAATATGAGAAAGGATCCCATCTCAGACAGAACTTGGAGCATGAGATACATATTAGTGTATGTCATTTCTTGAGGATATATTCTTGGCCTGAAACTCTGCAAGTCATTTCAGATACATTGATATACTAACCTGCAAGATTAGATATACTGTTCTTTTACTCAGAAGTATGCTAACCAGATAACTTGCCATCTTCATTGACACATTGTTGGATATTGAAGGTGGGCACTAAAAACATTGTGCTGGAATGACAGCCATAGGCTGTGACTTTCCCAAATTTGAATATATGGTCATTTATGAAGAAATATAGGATCACAGATATTAGATGACTTAACTGAGAATTGAGGAATGGTCTAACTTTGAAGTCTATGTTTCTCAATTATATCATGCAGCCACCTCTAAAATAGAAGTCTCTAGAAAAGATAAAATCAAGATCTTTCTGAAAAACAGAAACATGTTTTCACTTTCTGTGTTTTATAACAGAATTTTCTGAAAAGATATAAAGGGCTTTCGGATCATTGGATTGGCCTTAACAGAGAATCATCACATCACATTTGGAGGTGGACAGACAACACTGAATATAAAGCTTTGTAAGTTTTCAGATTTCTTTTTCTTCCATTGAATTCATGTGTGGTTATATGTGTAACTTGTGAATGGGATGAGAAAGGTATTCACAAGGAAAGTGAATTGTACTAACAGATAAGAAATTTGAATCCTGGACTCAGCAGTAGACAGTGTGCTGAGTATATTCAAGGCCCTAGATTCAATCCCCATTAAATTCCACACTCCCTAAAAATGTTAATATTTTTATGCTCTTCCATTGAGTACCTGTTCTTTGGAAAGAACATCCCTAACTGTGATTTCACTTGACATCTCTAGCAGGATGACAGCATCCCACATAGTTCTTGCTTTCTCATGCACTGATTTAGAACTTTGCTGATAAACAGAGAGGGCTGTAATACCCTAAGAAGCCAGTGTCGAAGGACTGTAAGACTCTCAAGTCCACTCTTTCCACTGCTGCATCCATTCATAAGAGCAAAGTTTCCAGAGAAACATGGGGAATATCTTCTAATGTTTTATTATCAGAAGGAAATCAGTGCATAAATCCACTTGATGGATTAATAATGTTAATGGATACTTGGTAACTGTAGGCAGGTGGGGCATGGCTAGAGGAAGTAGATACATTGACATACTAACCTGAAACACTGGATACACTGTTCTCCTTCTAATCGGAAATACAGTAATCAGATAATTTTTCATCCACAATGGCATGTGTTGTATATTAAAAGTGGGCATTAAAAGCACTGTGCTGGAATGACAGGCCTAGGCTGCAACTTTCCCAAAGTTGTATATATGGCACACACTTGGGGGTGTGCCCTTGGGGACTCTACCTAGTTCTTGGCCCTTTCCCCTATGCCTGCCTCTGCTCCCTGAGTGTCATGAGCTGAGCAATTTACCTCTGTCATGCCCTTCTACCATGATGCTCTTCCTCACATCAGGCCCAAAGCAACAGACCTAGCTGACCATGGACTGAAACCTCTGAAACAATAAGAAGTCCTACCTCCTTTAATTTGTTATTTGAACTATGAACATTTCAATGGTGGTGCTTTGAAAGTAATCATTACATTGGAATGGGTAAAATATAGGGGCACAATCACTTTCATCAAAAAAATTAAATTCTCTTAGGAATTTAGTACTAAGTTATTTTTTTTTAAATTTCATCCATTTATGAAACAATTGGAGAAAAGACAAAAAATAAACTTCAGGGAAGTCCACCAGTGACAAAAGTTTGGAGACAGCGGCAAGCATCAGTTAAATACCTAATCAATAACATAAGTGGGTTTGATAATAGATAAATGATAAACTTGTGTTACTCAAGCAAAGACCCTGAGAATGTAAAGGAAACTAAATGCAGAAATAATGTAAACTACCAATGACTGACACATTTCTCTTGTTCACATTCAAAAACATGGAGGGTTGATGCTGGACAGTGTAGTGGAGAAGAAAATGAGAATGTCCAACCTATGAAGATTTAATACTTTTGTGTCTGGTTTTAGGTTTTCCATCAGAGGAGATGGCGAATGTGCCTACCTGAATGATAATGGAATCAGCAGTGCCAGGCACTACACAGATAGGAAGTGGATTTGTAGCAAGCCAAACAGCTATTTCCACAAGTGCCAAATCACATCAAGTTCTTTAAAATAAAGCAGGATGGAGGGATATTTTGTAACTTGTTATATACAGTTGCTGCTCCATTTTTGTTTTCACTTAGCACTAGGAACATGCATTCGCAAATTTATTGACAACAACAAAGTGGCAAATTATACTTGCCCTGTCATAGTACAGGGATTTGGAAGGGTATGATTCTAAATTAGATAGGTGTTTTGGTATGAGTTCATAACTTATATTTTGAACCTGGAATATAATCAAAATCAGTGAACTCTACTTCTATGAACTGATATTAAACTTTTCTTATATAGTCACTACTTGCTTTGAATGCATGTGACAATAAAAATGAGTAGACAACTGAAAGTATGCAAATTATTTAATAGTCAATGAAAAAATTATAATTGGCTTGAGACCTTTAACATTTTCTTAAATCCATTCAAAATTTTCTTAATAATAAATTATTATTATTTTTTTTGTGTGTGGATTGGGGATTGAACCCAGGGCCTTGTGCATGTAAGGCAAGCACTCTACCAACTGAGCTATATCCCCAGCCCTAAATGAAAATTTAATAAGTACTAAAATTAATATTTATTATATATTCTAAAATATTACAAGCAGTGACAAAGTGTTTTTTACACTTTAATTTTCAATGTTCATATTGGCATAATAAATAAATGCTATACTATATTTATAAACAAATGTCATTTTATTTTACCCTTGAATTGAAAATCTTGGTTGAATTTAAAACCAAACAACAGACAATTACTTGAACTCTTCATTCACTGGATACCTAATTTCAAAATGGTTTATTTATTATTCAGTTTTGAAAACAAAATTTGCTACACTGTACTGATGAGTCCCAAAAAGGACGAAATAACAAGTTACAATTCATCCCTTCCATCTTTCCTATTTTATGGACATGTTGATTTCTCCTTATAATTCTTTTTAAATTTAAATATCTCTAGATAGAAGCTAAAGGGGGGAAAAGAGTTAAAGAAAAACAGGATTTCATAAAAATAGAAGTGAGACAAATAAAGGAAGAGGATTGAGGGGGGTGAGGGGAGGGTGTGGGGAAAGACTAGGGAATTAAATTAACCAAATATGCTATATTCATGTAATTCTTTCACTGTAGCTCTAATAAAGATTTATTGGCTTAATTGGTTTACAATTTATTTTATTTCGGGTTTCATAATCTAATGCATAATGTACTTCTCTATCCCCAGAGACTAGCACAGCATGTAAATACAGATGTGTTCAAAACATACCTGTGGAATGAAGCAGTGTCTTCATGACTATGAGATTCTGTCTTATTGGCTTAGTTTCAGGTATTTTTCTCACAAAAATAAAGTTAATTTCAAAAAAAATAAGAAAGAAAAGATAAGCAGATTTTATGTTGATAAACAGTGTGGGACTAACTCACAAATGAAATTTGAGTAAAATTATGACACTTACTGACCTAGTATTCTTTTTAAAACTAGTTTCTAAACATTATTTGCCACCTATGATCTTGATAAATTGTGTAGCCCTCTACCAGAGTTTCTTCATATGAAAACTCAATATACTAATTTCAGCGCCACTGGTGAGTTGTAAGACTCAAATAAAATTGTGCATGGAACTTTCTTGCTAATCTGTATACCTGACTTATGTTAACTTTTTGATAAAACTGTTCTTTCATTATTGCTCAGTGGAAATAAAAGTAAAACTAACACCAAAAGTTCAACCTTTCAAAATGATCCTGCTATAAGCAACAGGAAGTCCGTGTGCTATTCAAATAAAATTTTATTAGTTCGGGGAATTCACCACTAGTTGAATCAATCATTCAAAGCACATGTGGGAAATTCTTCTTTACAGGAACTAGCCTGCACAAGTAAATGCTTTACAACATATTACAGACACAGTCTCAGGTACTTGGGATTCACCCATTTTCCCACATTAAATCCATTCTGATTTATTCTTTACATTGCAACTGAACTGATATTCTAATCCAACACACAATCAAGTCATTCTCTGCATAAAACTTTTCAAAGGTTCCTATTTTGCACTTAGTATACAATTTAAATTTGTAATTATAATCAAGTCCATGTAATGCCACTGGTTTATTTCCCATCTTCTTCTCTCAGTCATTCCCTTCATAATTTTCTAAATTTGACACACACAAAAAAAACCAACCAAAGAAATTGTATCTCTAGTTAATTTTCTGCTCATGTATAGAACCCTAGCTTCTGGAAGGGTCTCAGAAGAAGCAACTTGTTAAGCCAGAAACTCCACTGAACTATCATGTCTATTTTCTATTGATGTTTTTATAATTCTTAAAGTAATCAGGTCATGGCTACCCCAAAGTCATTGCTTTAAAGCCTCAGTAGCAACTATGGTTCCAAAGACTTAGGGATCAACTTTAGTTGTGGAAAACAGAGGTGCAAATATAGAGAAGTGGTTTTGTTCTGCTCTTCCTTGATCTTTGTTTAGTCAACAGTTTCTACCCATGTGCTTTATGACCTCTATGTTAGTTCATATTTCCCCATCCCTGTGTTACTTCCCCAATCTAAATCTTTTTTTATATTGTTTCTCTTAATCAATTTTCTCATTTCCCAATCAGAATGCAGCTACATGCAGGAAGAGCCACTGTGCCTTTTCCTTCATTATGTTCTTAGTGCTTTGTGTAGTCCCTGGTAGATGGTAAGGGCTCCATAAATGTCTAGTAAATGAATTAATCTATTTGAATACAGCTTTTTGTCATATTTTTAAAACATCATATATAGTCTTAATAGTTTGTGGCACATTTTCTTAAAAACATGCATTTTAAGATGTTTCTTAAAAACATCTTCTATGGCATGGAATGTACTTCACAGACTTCTGGGTGTCTTGCTTTGTGTCAAGGGAAGTACAGCAGTGATACAAAATCTCCCCCAAATGCCCAGAAACATTTAAGAGTTCCTGATATTGGGGGATAGTTTCAAGCTTTTCACTATTAAGTATAATGTTAGCTATAGGTTTTTATTTCTTTTGTTTTTTTACATATTCTTGGTCAAAGTGAGAAAGTCTCTCTATTTTTAGTTTCCTGACCTTTTATTTAATAATGGTGTTGGGTTTTGTCAAATGCTTTGCATTGGTATGATTAAGTGATTTTGTTTTTACTCAACCGATATCACAGGTTCCATTAACTGGTTTTTGAATGTTAAACCAGCCTTCTATTACTAAGGTAAATCCCACTTGACTGTGGTGTATAATTCTTTCCACACACTTACTTTGCTAATTTGTCATTGAGGTTTTGTATCTATATGTCATGAGACATACTGGTTTTTAGTTTTCTTTTCTTGTAATGCCTTTATCTGGCTTTACTATTAGGGTAATGTTAAACTCACAGATGGAGTTAAGAAGTATTCTCTCTCTGTGTCTATCTTCTGAAAGCCCTCATAGAGAATTATATTTATGTCCTTTCTCACTTTCAACACAATTATGCTCATCCTTTGTTAAATTCTGTTAGTCACTAAGTTGCCAAATTCCACACTAGTGATTATAGAGTTTAGCTTGGAGCACAGATTGAGTACAGAGTAAAGAATGTGGATTTCGACTGTTTGGGTTTGAATGCTACCTCTATTACTTATGAAGCTTTGGATCTTTGGACAACTCTAATTGTGTTTCACTTTACTGAGAGTTGTTATAATGAATAAGCAAATGTGTATATGGTAATTTGGGCAATAATTTTAGCATACCAATATGTGTTACTTTTCATAAAATTTTAAAAATTAGTTAAAATACATTATTAAAAGTGAGATTATATTGCTAAAAACATAAACATGTCCTAAAATACATTTGTTGGACACTTCTTAATGGAAAAAAAAAATATCCCATGTTCTCAGTTCTTAGCCCAGTAACTTGTACAAAGTAAGTGTTCTATAAATAATTGTTAACTGAAAAATTTCCACATCATTTAATTCTTTTGAATGAAATACTAAACATCTTGGCTTTATTTTCCAGTATGTATCCCCATTGATTTCCATGCTAAAGTTTCCAAGAGAGACATTTCCTTCCAAAAGTTATAAAGGGCTTTTGATCCAGTGGTTAAGTTCATACACATATCACCACCAGGCTATCTGAGCTTAAATTCTAAATCTGCCAGTGTGAACTGAAGAACTGTGAGAAAATTACTTCAAGTCTTATTCCTAAATTCCTCATCTGTTAAATGGATAGGATAAATCTACTTCATGAACTTGTGAGGATAAATAAGTTATTATACAAAAAGTATGTAGGCTGGTGCCTCCTACTTAATACAATATTTAAAAGAAAAACTTTTTGTCATTTTCTGTCTCTTTTATATGTTGTAAAACCATTGTCCAATATCTGAGGAACTACTTTCGAAACCTCAGTAGTCCATTGTTTATTCTGTATTTTAAATTCTCAAAATATTTGGAAAGAACTTATTTTAAGACTTGTAGAAATCACTAAATATGAAGCATACATAAAATAACTTCTGCAGCATGTGCCTGTGATCCCAGCAGCTCTGGAGGCTGAGGTAGGAGGATCTGGAGTTTAAAGCCAGCCTCAGCAATAGAGAGGAACTAAGCAACTCAGTGAGACCCTGTCTCAAATAAAATACAAAATAGGGCTAGGGATGTGGCTCAGAGGTTGAGGGCCCCTAATTTTGATCCTCAGTACAAACAAACAAACAGAAAACTTTTCAATAGACTTTACCCTTGCCAATGACTTCTCCCCTCATTCTGAATCAGTTGTGTAACTGGTTGACTCTACCCTCTGAGGCCATCAAGGGATGATTTCAGTGTACTTTCCCAACAGACTGCTTTTTATGACCTGGGTTGTAAAAAGTTATCCATTATTTTACAGGACACATAGAATTTATATTTAACTGCATAGTGTAAAGATAATAGAATAATTCATTCTGTATTAATAATTTACTATATTAAGGTACTAATCGGATTAAATAATTTCACAGAAATAAAGTATTTAGATCACAGTGATACAAAGGAAACCTTCAATATCAAAATAGGACATGTTTATAACCAACATTATTGTTACTCTTATCATCTTTCATGAGAATGGTATCTGTTACAGATAGATAGATTTCAAGGGTCAAAATTTAACCATCATGGTCACTCTGGGTTAAAATACTGAAAGTAGGATTGTTTCTGATAACCTTTGGACAGAAACTCTTAGAAAAAAAAATTGTTCAATTTCTCTACCTATGCTTAAATTTTGCAAAACAAATATGAAGAGGACTTAGACAATGTTAGTCATCTAGTATTATTACCAGAATTGACCTTTGTATTATTTGATGCTCAAACAAAACTCAGGAGGCCAGTTGGTGGAATAAAACAAAGCTGTCATTGAGGAAGATAGAAGAGACTTGTCTGTCTCAAATCACCATCCCTAGGATATTCGGGGGAGTCAACAGATTTTATAAGATGATATGGAATACTGGGACAAAAGGCAGGAAATATACAACTGAGATTTAGTTAGGCTGTGCTAGCCAGAGAATTGTGTATAATTCTGCTTTCTCACTGTTGTTGGTGTCCGTCCAGATTTTGAAAACAGTTTCACTTTCCATTCTGAGCATAAGGAAACTGGGAAGCATAAAAACAAAATACCAGGAAATTGGAAAGCAAAAAACATGTTTGGGGCTGGGATGGTGGCTCAGTGGTAGAGTGCTTGCCTAGCATGTGTGAGGCAATGGGTTTGATTCTCAGCATGGCACGTACATAAAATAAGTGAATAAATAAAGGTCCATCAACAACTAAAAAAAAAAAAAGTCCAGTCTTTTCATTTCTAAGGCACCCAATTACAGTATGTGCAGGCTTTCTTATCTAATCTAGAGGCTTATATTTGGTTTTATTTTCATAACACATCTGTTGCATGAATAAACACAGAACAGATGGCCCAAGGTACTGGAGTCTGAAATAGAACTAGATGTACTTCATGCTTTTACAATTATGTCAAAGTGGATTCTACTGTCTTATATAATTAAAAAGAACCCATAAGAAAATTAATAAAAGTTACTAAGTGACTGTGTCACAATGAAGGCACAGAAGAGTCATGGACATGTTTTCTAGCTATTCTCCCATGTTTCAGTCTTTCTTTTTCATTGTTGTTGGTTTTTGTTTTTAAAATAAATTGATATACAGTATCAATTCTTAGTGAGAATGCCACAGAAGGACTTGAGCTATAAAGATCGCTTTAGAGCCATGCAACCCTTCTCCCAATTCCACTGTCAAACTGGGTAGGAACCTGAAATCTGCTCCCTGTTAATATGTTCAGAATTAATATTTTTTTGAGATAATATAGAATTTTGCATTTGCAAAAAACACAGTCATGTATCACTTAAGGTTGGAGATACATTCTAAGAAATGTGGTGCTAGGTTATTTCATCATTTTACAAATATCATAGAATATATTTATATAGAGATGGCCAGGACATCACTAGGTGATGTGATCCCATGGGACTACTTCATAGATGCTGTCCATCATTGACCTAAACACTGTTACGTGGTGCTTGACTAATACAGAGAAATCCCATATACTTTCCCACCGATTTCCCCCAGTGGAAACATCGGCCACAATATAGTGCAATATCAAAAACATAAACAGAAAACTGACATTAATACAACACACCGACATTATTCAGATTACACCCATTTACCTATACTCATTTGAGCGTGCTTGTGTATTTAGTTGTATATGATCATATCCAATCTGTAGATT